ACATGACATTTATTATGATGTAAACTCGATTTTACAATTTACAATAGCTAATGATTAAGTTTATTTTATTTTAAAATCTTATGGTGGACTTGCAAGAGTCCAAAGAGAATGCATTCTTCTTGTCACTAATTTGCAAAAAGCTCATGATGTATTTTCAAATTTTCAAAGCCCATTTTATATATAATTTTCTTTTTCACACACATCAACTAATTATTAGCCTAATTATATACATCCATCATATACGGGACAAAACACTCCAATACTTTGCGAGTATCTCCGATTTTTGTAAAGATAACATAAAATAAACACACATGCACAATGGTCAAAACTCAAAACAAGTGTGGTATTTCGGTAGGATAACACGCCATCTATTAATGAACAGAAACTCATGAATTAAGTAGCTTATTTTTTGTGTTACTCAGAAATTAACGATAAAATTGAAAACTGTTCACTAACCAAAATCTGAGGGGAGAAATCACTAATCTATATGTGTAACGTAAGAGAACAATTAAACCGAGAAATGATGAAGAATCTGTAACGAAATCTCAGAAATGTTGAAGATGAAGAAGTACCTCAGACTGCGATTTAAGGCCTCGGGGAATTTTTTCGGTGGCGCCGCTTGAGAGATCAATTAGGGTTTTGCTACGCAGCGTCACAGAAATTTTGAGGGTTATAAATAAATCTAATCTCCAGAAAAAACTTTAGGGTAGGGAAAATCTTAAAAGGCTTGTTTCAAAAATCGTCAAGACCTTTGGGAAAATGGGCCTTCGTTTTTGTTGATTGGGCTTTGGTATAAGGAAGCCCAGATAAAGAATGGAATTGACCAGATGTTTTGACTGATTAAATGTAGAAGGACACGTGTATGGTTGTAAGGAATGACCACCCTGGTCCATCACGCACCTGATGATGTCTCTGTCCTTGTATCTGGCTCCATGCACGTGACAGCACGAGACTTCCACCAGTTCGATTTTAGTATTTTCTTCTTTCGTTTTTAGTTTTTTCTCTTTCAAGATTTGGCCAATAAGCATAGCTTGAAAGCTGTCATTTTCGACTAAAATAGTTGGTTTGTTAATAATGATATCCAACTATTTATAAATAAATTACGTACTATATGACTATTTATTATTTGTTCTTGAAAACATGAATCACAGTCGTTAAAAACACTACTACTCCTATATTTGAATTATATCCGTACACTCACAAGTCCACCACAGTTGTAGCTGTGTGTATACATGTTTCGCATGCGTATAGGTTCGTGCGTATGCATAGGTCTATATAAATCTACATTGTTCCTCTATATAAGTAATGTGTTTCATCTTAAATCAAATCAAATGATTGTTCCCTATGTTGTTTTATCTATAAAGGTGAAAATACCATTCAAAAATTTTAGTTATCTTTTTTATGCACTTGGATTATTTTTTTTCATTCTCTAGAATGATATTTGGAACGCTAATTTTATTTTATGGTGATATTTTTACAAAGTTGCATGCTGACATAACAAAAACTAAATGTCGCTTTTCATACAATTTGTGCATAGCTAACAAATATGGTCTCATGCTCTCATGTATCAAAGATTAGTCTATTTTCTTTACGCAGCATCAAAGCTCAATTTCGGTACCATTATATGATTTTAAAATATGCATG